TTTTAAAAGGAGCAGCGGTGCATGCGTAGCTGTAGCCATGCAGCAGGGGAGTGACAAGCTTTTTCAAAAAGCGGTTCTTGCAAGTCTGCTTGGTTTCTGTGAGAACAATAATGTCGGGCGGCGCATGCGCTGTCTTGGCCATGAGGTCGCGCAGGTGGCCTGAGAATGTGCCAATTCCCTGCACGTTCAGTGTAAGCACTGAGAGCTTTGTGGTGCGGTCGAGAATTTCTCCGTCCTGGCGCATGGCGGCGACGCGGTCCAGATCCGCCCGTTCCTTGAGCGCGCGAGCTGCCTGCCGCCGCGCACGCTGGCGTTCTCTCTTTGCTGAGTTCCTGCCACCAGTGGCGGGTGCTGAGGCGGGTTTTGCGGTTGCGTGAGCCGGCTTGCGCGGCTCGCCTGTGGCGTTTCCACTACTGTCCATCTCTGTACTTTCAGGCGCCCCTGCTGTTGGAGGTGCGAGTGCTGCAGCAGGTATTGCCGTAAATTTCCAGAGGTCGGTGATGCGCTTCTGCCGCGTGTCGGTTTGAGTCGCCACCCGTCGTTTCTGACCCGCGAGTTTTGAGACCCCTTTATGGGCTGGTGCACAGTAATTGAGGGCGAACTCGCGTCGTTTCGGCCCCTTTACCGGCACCTGCTGAGTAGGCGCGCGCCCCACGGCCGCCGCTGTGCCCTCATTCCCGGCTTGCGGGGGGACGGCAGTCGCCAGCGTCACTCGCCGCTGCCCCTCCTCACGGGCCGCGGCCGCCTCATTCCCCCGCTTGTCCGTGCGGTTTGTTGGTGCGTCTCTGCGGCTGTGCAGTTCTGAGGCCTTGCGCTTTTCAATCTCTGTGCGGCGGGCGATGGCCGCATTGGTGGGCATCGCATTCGCCCCGGCGCTGCGGGTGGGGGCTGCGCTAACGGCTGGCCGCAGCTGGGCAAGCGGCACCGCTACGAAGTCCGTTGGGGGGCGCTCTGCCCCTCCTGCCCCCCTGCCAGGTATTGCCCCAATTGTTTGGGCGCGGGCAGCGTCGATGGGGGCCAGTACGTTGACGCTCCAGCCCCCCGAGG